ACCGACAGCACAGCCAGGCAAGCCGGCCAGGAGTGCTGGTCAGGGGCGCACGGCGACCAAGTCACGGGCGTCGAAGAGGAAAGCAGCAGCACCTGTGGCGGAGGACGACGACGACGACGAGTCAGACGACGGGTTCGAGAAGATGGACGTCGACACGGCCGCCGGCAAGGAGGCTGACGCAGACATGTCTGACCAGCAGCGAGACACGACGGACGCTGAAACAGAGACGGCAAGCGAGCCTGACGAAGACGAAGACGACGCGGAGGAACAGGAGGCAAAGCCGGCGAGGGTGCAGGAGGACGATGCGCCGCCGCCCGCGCGAGCCCTGCCGTTTATGAAGAAGACGGCGAAGAAGGCCGCGCCTGCGCCGCCGCCGGCTGGGAGCGAGACCGAGTCGGATGATGAATTGTAATGTCATTGCATGGTAATGAGAGATGAAATCACGCGACAGGGATGGCAGTTGGTGCGATTCTTGCTCCAGATTAGGCTTGCTAAGGGGAACCTTCGTATCTCATGTCCCCGATGACGTCGTATGCTCATGTATGCTTTGCACACCCTTGCCGATCACGTCGTATGCTCATGTATGCTTTGCACACCCATCCCGACCACGTCGTATGCTCATGTAGGCTTTGCACACCATTCTTCTGACCTGTTCACCCCATTCCCTCTCACCGCCTGTCGTCGTCCTCAAAGTACTTGTTCCAAAAGGCGCGGTAGTGCACCGTCTTGCCAGCCTCGGCAATCTCCTCGACCTCCTTGGGCGTCAGCTTGAAGCCGGGCACGCGCGTCATGTAGGTCTGCAGCCTGTCCTCCTTGGACGAGGTCGTCAGCGCGACGAGGCCCTGGTCGATGCACCAAACGGAGGCCAATCTCCGACTCGGAGACGCCCGTACTTTGGCGGCGAGGCGGGCCCAGAGGGCGGGGACGGGGCCCTCGACGTCGCGCGTGACGGGCGTCAGCGGACCGTAGCACGAGACGGCAATGGCGTGCCGGCGGTGGAAGGCGAGCAGGTCGCCGTGCTGCAGGTAGGGGTGGAACTCGATCTGGTTGAGCGCGGGCGCGACCCTCGCCGTCCGGAGCACGGCCTCGAGATGGGGCTGGAGAAAGTTGGACACGCCGATGGAGCGCGCGCGGCCCGAGGCGTGCAGGGCCTCGAGCTCGGCCCAGGCCGCCTGCAGGTCGGCGTCCGTGGCGGCGAAGAAGGGCGCGTGGATGAGGTAGAGGTCGACGTAGTCGAGGCCGAGCTTGCGCAGCGACGTCTCGAAGGCCTGCTGGATCGGCTCCTTCTTGGTGCCCGCGAGCTTGGTTGTCACGTAGAGCTTCTCGCGCGGCACGCCCGCCGCCTTGATGGCCGCGCCGAGCTCCTCCTCGTTGCCGTAGACTTTGGGTTGCCGTGTCAGGAAAACACCTGGACAGAGAATCGTCGAGAACGGACGTACCTGCTGCGCCGTCGAGGTGGAAGTAGCCGGCTTTGATGGCGGCCGTCGTGATCTCGACAATCTTGTCGTCGTACGAGCCACCACCCTTTTTGAAGTTGGCCGTGCCGAGGCCGTAGGCGAGCTGGTCTGTCAGCGTATGGGCTTTGATGCACTGGGCTTGACGGGCTTTACCATGGGGATCTCGTTGCCATCGTTGAGCTTGAGGTGGGGGATATAGGGAACCTGCTTCGGGGTCTGGCCCGTAGCGTCAGGCTTCCAGACGGATCCGATCGAGTTCATCGTGCTGGCCGGATCTAATGGTATCGCGTGTGTCGGCCTTGAAGTGATGGGATGTATGGGTATTGCTGTGGTATCGGCAGCTCAGGGTGAGGTCTTGAGTGAAGTCATGGAAGGCTGCCGAGCGAAGAGCGAAGGGACCGAGGGGCAGAGCCTCTTTCGGTAGGTGCCGTCTCAGGCCGAGGTGACGTATCCCAGTGGGCCTGTGGCGCCATGAACTCTACGAATGGCGTATGGACGGACGAAGCATCCGGTTTGAAGCCAGAGTACCTAAGCCGTGGAAGAAGGCATGGTGTGTCATGTGTATTGAATTGAAGTGTATATATATATATATGGTGTTGCGAAGGAGTTGGTCCAGTGTAAGCACGACAGGTGAGTGACCGACACAAGGGAGAGGCCCGTCACTTCAGCTGTTGTCTCCTCGTATTGAGTCCTTGATCTACTCACGGTAGTTGGCCTTTCCCTTCCAACATTCTGAATGCTGAGAAATACTCGAGTCTTTAATCTCCATTCAGCACATCTCGCCTCAGCGTCTCTGCTCGCAATTGAGCCCTCACAGTAACAGTAACAGACCGTGAGGGGTCTCGATACCCCGCATCCTGATGGCCATCCGTTTCGTTTCCGTTTCGTTCCTGGACCCGCCCAACGCCCGTCCCGCCCGTCCCGTCCAACTACCGTCCAACGGCCTTCGCGCCGCGCCGTCACGGCCTTCGCACCGTTCCAACCTGGCCAGGATAAGCTGTGGTGGATGCGTGCCCAAGACCAAGACAACCTCGCCTTGTCTCCCCAAGATCGACGCCACCGCCTTCACCTCATCCTCGCTCTCCACGCCATGCACTTCTCTGTCAGGTCTCGGCGTGCCGGTACTCATCTGATGGCCACCCTTTATGGAGAAAGCAGCCTTCGGTTCGGGACCTGGCCGACGCTGACATGGGTCTTCGTGCAGTGCAGTGCCTCCCCACCGATGCAACCCTCCCACCCCGCCAACCGATCAAGGTACTTGGTACAGGCTCAACGGACGATGCAACCTCCCCGGCGTCGCCGCCGGGAGGTCATGCACTTCATTTCCCCAACGGCGCCCACGGTCCGCCAGAGCTCGTCCATCGTCTCGAGTGTCCTGGTTAAGCTTGTTTTGGTTGTAAAGGTTCTTTTTCCTTCATTCATTCGTCGGTTTCCGTCTAAATCAACACGCAAAAAGTGCCTGATACCCCCCAATATAGAA